CACCCCCTTTAAATGGCCACATATAATCCTTTATTTGGGGGATTAAACATTTGAGGGGGGGTCTTCCTGGACCCACAGCTCTTACTTGATAAGCAGGCGTCCGCTGTCGGCAGGAAGGCCTTTACACAGCACCCTGTCCTAGTTTGAGGGCCCTTCAGACAGTCAGTCATGCCTGGTCACCTCGTGGCTTGACTACTGCAACACGCTCCACTGGGGGCGGCCCTTGAAGCCACCTGGAAGCGTCAGCTGGAGCAGAATGCAGCAGCACAAGCAGTAATGGGCATGCCTCAGTATGCCCATGTAACACCTCTGCTTTGCAAGCTGCACTGGTTGCTAGTTTGTTTCTGGGTATGATTCAAGGTGCTGTTACCTATAAAGCCCTATGTGGCACAGGGCCTGGTTGCTCGAGGGACCACCTGTCTCCCACAGTATCAGCTCGGCCGATCCGATCTGGCAGAGTTGGTGCACTCCAGGTTCCTTCTATTAAACAATGTCATCTGTCAGGACCCCGGAAGTGTGCCTTCCCTATTGCAGTGCCGGCCCTCTGGAATGAGATTCCCCCAAGAGCTGAACAGCCCCCACCCCGAAGACCTGGCTCTTCAGCCAGGCCTTTTCTTCTTTTTCTCTGTTCCCATCTGGGTTTGGCACCCCTGCCATCTTTGTTCTGTTCTGTTTGTTTCATTTCTTGCTTAAAATGTTTTTAACAATTTGCAAACTGCCCAGAGTCACTGGGAGTCAGGCAGCATGTCCATTTAATACATTATTATTATTTTAATATATTGGGCCAACCAAGAAAATGGGTTAATTCCATGAACAGGTTAAGCCTGAATACAACATAATGGTTACATGATAGTACCATCAATGCATTTTGTTTTAAAATAATAAGAAGAAAAAATAGCCCGTTGGTCAAACCGGTGGTCCAAAGCTAAGCGGGGCTGGGCCTGGTTAGTTCTTGGATGGGAGCCCACGTGGAAGTCTCACAACTGGAGGCTTGTTCGCAAAGCCGAAAAATATCCTGGCAACGACAAACAAACTTTGAAACGGTAGCCAAGAAAACTGAACGGGCATGTCCATGAAGTCGTTCAGAGACTCTATCCTTGCCACTGGACAGGTTTGGGCAATCTTTTTGTGGCTTTTCGAGACCCGTTTCTAAAATAGCTTATTACTTTGTCTTCCTGGGCCAATAAAGGGGCGAGGGCTGCAGCCGAGGGAGCAGTGGGGCAAAATGAGTGCTTTTTAATACACCCCACCTTGATTTTGTTGGCATAAGACGGGGCAGAGAGAAAATCAACCAGGCTTTCAAGATGCTGTTATTCAACCTGCCATCCATAAAGACCCATGCCACTTTTTTGACCCGGCCTCCCTCGAAGGGCTGACACCTTTCCTTTTTTTCCCCCCAGTTTTGGGAGGCGGGGAGATGGGTCTGGTTTTTAATTGCATTCGTTTCAAAACAACAACAATTATTTGGGCCAAATTTAAGTCAGAAGGGTTTGCAAGCCCTGCAGAAAAGGAGCTTGGGGGCTGCCTGGGGCCGTGGGGCTGCAGGTTGCCCACCCCTGTCTCAAGACCGCAGCTGCTGCATGGACAGATTCACCTGGAAAAGCCCCCCCAGCCCCCCCCACTGCCAGTGAAAGGCTGTTGCTTACCTGGCTTTTGGCGGACATGTACCGCCCGTTGCCCTAGGCAACCAGAGAACAAAGGCCGCTCCTCCAATCCTTTCCAGCCTTACTTCGGCGAGCCACCGAGTGGTCCAATCACAGAGCAGGTCTCTGGGGAACCCTTTACTTCCAGACCCAGCTCAGTGGCTGGGATGCTCTGCGGGCCAGGAGAACTGAGCAGCAATTTTTCAAAGGCATTTGAGCCTTCCTTCGACTTGACTGGTGTTACTTCCCACACAGCAGCTTCTCCATTCTTCAACCCGGCCCTTTAAAATGCCCCAAAACAGATAAAATCCTGTCTATCCCAATAAAACAGTGGTTTCCTATGTTGTTTGTTTCAGCATGCAAATTTGATCCTAGACCTTCTCAAGCAGGGTGATCGACTCCCATCTTAGGGAACTGTTTTTTCCAGTCTCAGATGACCCAGATATTTCCCTTGGTGGGTGGGTAAGGATGGACTTTATTGCTAAAAGCAGGTAAACCATGTATTTGTTTTGCAACTTTTATTCCCTCTGTCAGATGCGCATTTGTTTAATTATGCCCTCCTTCGTTTCACTGTTGTTATCCCTTTGTTGAATATTTCCTCCAGCATTTTCAGACTTTATTGTATTCCCACCAAATACAGAAGAAAGTCCCATTTTGATTATAAACCCTCCAACACCCCATTGAGTAATGATGCATCATGTCTGAGATAAGAGTAAATGCCAGCAACATATCCTGTTGTAGCCTAAGCGCAAAAACATTGGGGGGAAAAACACTTTATATATCTGGCAGATTTTCTCCCCCCAGAAAGGAGACCTTGTGGTGCATGGAACTGTTATCCATTACGTTAAGGCACAATTCCCCATAACTGACTTTACTCCCCTATACAGCCGTAATGATCAGTCCTGCATTTGTGATGGAACACAGTAGAGATCCAGGTTCTCAGGAAGGAGGAAGCGCATTGCAGGAAGAAAGGCGGGGAGACAAGAGGCAACACAGTCCAGAGCAGGAGCACGGGAAGAGGAAGAGACTTAGGATAGCCACTTCCTAGAATCTCCCAGGGTATATCCATTAGGTTAGAGTAGCACAGATTTAGTCTAGCAAGATTCTGTCTACATGGTGTAAGCAATAAAAGAACTGAACTTGGCTGGACTGTTTCCCTGTTGTTCCTGGGCTGGGCCTGACAGCATTGCAAGATTGTTTGTGAATTGCATTACATGGCACAGGGCCTGGTTCCTTGAGGGACCCCTGTCCCCCATAACATCTGCCCAACAGATTCAATCCAGCAGGGTTGGCGCGCTCCGGGTTCCTTCAATGAAACAATGCCATCTAGCAGGACTCCAGAAGCGCCCCTTCTCTGTAGCAGCGCCTGCCCTCTGGAATGAGGCTCCCCCTGGGATTCAGATGGCCCTGTTCTGCTGTTCGTCAGAAGAGCTGTGAAGACCTGCCTCATCACCCAGGCCTTCACTAAGAGAGAGTGAGACTGTTAGCAAAATTTGAGAGTTCCTGACTCTCCCCAATTAGGATTCAGTCCGGCACAAGATCAGACACAAAAACACCAGCTGAGATTTTAAAGTTTTATTGAAAGCAGCCCAATAGAGTCAGCTGGGGTCTCCCCTTAAGGCAGAGAAGCACACCGATCACACTCAAAGAAGAAGATTTTATATGCATTTCTTACACAGAGATACAACAATTAACAAATTGATTGGCTAAAATTGGCATAAATTTGGGATCCTCCTCATTATTGGGGGAAACTAATCTTCCTGATGACCTATTGGTTGCTAGTCAAAGTTCAGGGCACCCCCTTTAATCTTCTGATATTTATTGTTTCATGAAATGCAGAGGCATCACCAGAGCAGCTAAAGGGTGTTCTGAAGGCTATCAGATTGGGGTCACTTCCTCCCATATCTTTATAGCTTCGACACTTAAGGAGACAGAATGTCTGCCCAGTATTTTTCAACAATAACAGAAATGAGAGAAATTTGTGAAGGATCATGAACATTAGTTTCCTTGTCATCCCTTGGCTCCCCAAATGTAAGTAAATAAAGATGAGAGAAACTGAGAGCCCTTCCCATAAGGTTTCAAGACCAAGCAGGTTGAGAGCTGGTTTGATCTACTGCAGTGTTTCTCAACCTTGACAACATTTAAATAAGGGGGGTTTTCACCCC